GATGTGTTTTGCATGAGGCACCATACCAGGTGGGGCAAAAGTCCACTTACAGTTGTTTGTATAGAAAATAATACAATAATTAATAAATAATAATATAAGAATAAACTGTTTCCTGTACTGACAACTTTTGCCACACCTTGGGAAATAGTACTTTCTACCAGCATTCTGCCAGATTGAAATTTTATAACTATATTAAGAGCTATGTGAATTACAATCTTAGGATAGGGAAGAAAAAAATGTGAGGTTCTCTGCATGAACAATTTAAAAAGTTACACTTATTTTCAAATGGGTGATACATACTCAAGATTCAATAGTCAAAATATAGGGGGAGCAAAGGGGTACTGGAAGAGATTAATGGGGGAAAAAGAAGGACCTATGTAATACTTTCAACAATAAAAATTTTTTCAAAAGTCCAGAATAAAAAAATAAAAACAAAAAAACCCATGCAAAAATCAAAATACTATTATAAAAACCACATGCTGAAAAATTTCATTATCACCCCAATGCCATTCGCCCATTCTTCCACTCCTCATTTTCCTACTCCTTATAAGTATTCTTTTATTGTTCCTTTATGCAGAGGCAAATCAATATTTTATTCTTTTTGTTATATACATGGTAGCATACTATATGCAAACTGTTTTGCATTATCTTCAACCCTATTTGGCCCCATAGTAAGACACTTTACATTGCAACCTATTACACACACATGTAAAGTAGAAATGAAACAAAAGTTTCAGAAACCAATACTTATCCTTACTATGTATAATACCTATTCTATTCTATTCTATTCTATTCTATTCTATTCTATTCTATTCTATTCTATTCTTTCCTTTTTTATTTAATGCTAGTCACAGCCCACAAATTAATTTTATAATCTTAGAAATAGGAATTATTTATGGAGTATAAATATTTGCTTCTGCTATCCATGATAATACTTACACATTTAAATATTTAAGATCTTACATTTCTACCTATATTAGTAAATGGGTGGATCTCAAAGTAGTTATGGTGAGTTAAAAAGCCAGACCAAAATAAAAAAAATTAAAAAAATTACACACTGATCCCATTCATATACACTCTAGAATATGCAAATTAATCTATAGTGACAGAAAGCAAATCGTCTGTGGCTTAGGTATAGGAACCAGAGAGGGAGAGGGAAGGAAGGACAACAAAGGGAGAATGGGGAAACTTTTAAGGGTTGTGGTTATGTACACTATACACTAGGTTGACTGTGGTGATGATTTTACAGATATGTATATGTAAGTCAAAACGTTTCAAACTGTACTTTAAATTATGTGCAATTTATTGAATGTCAATTATACCTCAACTAAAATGTAAAAAAAATCCCACCCATCCTATACAACAACAAACTAACAAAAATGAAATTTTGTTCACTGCTTATCCCAGTAAATGGACTAAGTAATCACCTCGATGCACAGCCAAATAAAAGTAATCAGTTCCAAAGTTTCACTTTGTGCCCAGTTTCACTTTGTAAAAAAAAATGAAGAGATATAGGACTGTTTAACTGCAACAGTGCATAGCAAATCTCATGGCTGGCTGAATATTTATGAAAGAAAAACTATTTAAAAACAGAAGACTTTAACAAAAGAGTCTGGTATCACATAGTGTGGGGGCAAAGTTCATAATGTAGAACAGACACAAATGGCATCATAAAAATAGTAGCAACAGACTCTGATCAGGTTGTTAGTATATGGTATTCACATGCATTATCTCACAGCAACCCTTAAAATATCATGCTGTCTCAATTTTACGGATGGGTGCTAAGGCTTAGGATACTTAAAGAATCCCTCTGATGACTCACAGCTAGTAAGTGTCAGCACCAAATCTCAAGTTCACATACAACTCCAAAGCTATGCTTTTAAAAACCATACTGTACTTTACTGTAGTTCATAAGACATGAGACACTGAGCAAAGATTAAACTGTATTCTGTAAAACTGCATGTAAGAAGGGAAGTGATAAATTTTAGAAAGACGTTCATAAAAAATAGTTGGAGACTGAAATAGCCAAAATGGTAAATTTCAGGTAAGTTGAAAAGACCCTTATGACAAAGCCAGAATTATTAGGTATTACAGTCTAAATTCTACTTCTTGCAATTACCTTATAGCAGGGGTCCTCAAACTTTTTAAACAGGAGGCGAGTTCATTGTCCCTCAGACCGTTGGAAGGCCGGACTATAGTTTTAAAAAAAACTATGAACAAATTCCTATGCACACTGCACATATCTTATTTTGAAGTAAAAAAACAAAACGGGAACAAATACAATATTTGTATTTGCATGTGGCCCGCGGGCCGTAGTTTGAGGACCCCTGCCTTATATAGAATGTCTATCGTTTTTTTAAAAAGCTTTTAGATTCAAAAGAACATACCTGATTGTCTGAGTAAGAAAGCTGCCTGTTGGTTTCCTTCTGTGAGGTTCTACTGCCCAGAATAGCTCCAAAACTACCAGACCCCTGAGGTTTCATGGCTAGTGCAAAAGAAAAAAAAATTCCCAAATCACTTATTTTAATATAGAGATTTTCCATTATTAGTATGTAACATTGCAGAAATAGAAGCAGAAATAAATTAAAGTGCTTATTAACCAATTCTTTCTGAATAGAAAGCACATCTGATATAAACTGTAATTAAAATTTAGAGCCAGTCTCAAGCAAAAAATGAAATAACATGCAAAAATTTGGAAACATATAATAGGACAAGATTTTATTTTTTAAAGTATCTCATAGGGTTGTTATAAGCCTTATAATATAAGGATTAAATATTTTTTTAAAATGTATTTTTATTTATTATAGAGAGGAAGAGAGAG